AAACGTTGCTACAACTTTAAAAGCACAACTACAATGATGTGGGAAAATACCCGAACAAAGCTGAATGCCATACATACATACATACATACATACATTCTATGTTGCTACTTATCAACCACTTTCCATGGATCTCATCCAGTTGACCTAACAAAAGTGAAAAATAACCATACATTTCTATATTTAAGCATTCATATCAAAACTCATTAAAAGCATCTGGGCAGATGAGCTAATATAATATGACAAAGCGGTAGATGAATTAAACTAACCTATGATAAATTCTTGCTATCTGCAGCAGTTGCTTCAAAAAATGCTACGAATGTTGCATTAGCCAAAACCAAACCATTGTTCTTAGGGAAAGACACGTTCCTACCATCCTCTGGTCACATATTTGTCAACTAATCCATACATAAGTTTGTTTTATGTGTGTTTTTGTTTAAAGACACTTTACAAATAGTCTTCGATTTACAACAGTTCATTTAGGGTCCGTTCGAAAAAGTGACTTATGACTGTTCTTCACACTTATGACTATTCCAGCATCCCTGTGGTCATGTGATTTCTATTCAGATGCTTGGCAACTGACACACATTTATGATGGTTGTAGTGTCCCGCGGTCATGTGATCCCCTTTTGTGACTTTCTGACAGGCAAGGGGAATGGAGAAACCAGATTCACTTAACAACAGTGTTACTAACTTAATAACTGCGGTGATTCACTTAACAATTATGGCAAGAAAAGTCGTAAAATGGGACAAAGCTCACTTAACAAATGTCTCACTTAGCAATTTTGGGCTCAATTGTGGTCATAAGTCAAGGACTAGCTGTATTTAGTGTGTGTGTGTGTGTGTTTGTGTGTGTGTGTGTGTATTAAAAATAAAGTTCTAAAAATAAGCATTTAAAAGTTTTATTAAGTTTTATTTATCAAAAGTCTTTGACTTTCATAGCCATTTCAACTAGCAGATAACAGATAATCAGAGTTGGAAGGGACCTTATAGGTCATATAGTCCAACCCCCTCACCCAAATGGGAGACCCAACACCATTTCTGACAAATGGCAGTCCAATCTCTTCTTGAAAGTCTCAAGTGATGAAAGCAAATTACTAAGAGTAGCTAGAAATGTGCAGAGTGGCAACTCAAAAATCTTGCTGCCTTGGGCATGTCTGTGAATACAGCTAATCTCCAATTTACAACAGTTCATTTAAAGATGATTCAAAGTTATGATGGCACTAAAGTTTTATTGATATCCCAACAGGTGACAGTTGAAGGAGGAGAAGAAATGAAAGCTACTTTCATTCAACAATGTGACCAGTGACACCTGGAGAGGGAAATATTTGCTCTTTTAATTAGGGGAAAATGGCAGGAACTTTTAGAGTTGGTTTTCACTAGCTGTACCGATATGATGTATCCAATAAACATGTTCTTTGAGGAATATGGCTGCCTCGTAGTTCTGATTTTAGTGGATGTTTTACTTGGAACGCTGACATTTGAAGCTAAAAAATGAAAGTCTATAATCAGACAGCTGTGAAGGCTTGAAGATTTTGTTATTCTCTGCCTCCTTTGGCAGAAATACATGGAAAAGAGCCTGCTAAAACTACCAAGTATTTCCTCCAAAAAATGATCGGATGGAGTGAAAGATAATTCACCAACTATGAGAAAACATCTCAATCCTGGATTTCTCCTCCAGCCTCCAATGTTTTTACTCACCGTGTTGTTGATGGAAGAGACGTAGACAACCCCACCTTGGTGTCCACTGTAGTAATGAGGAGCCCCAATTACAAGTAGGTCAGTATTTCCATCTTCATTTAAGTCCACGGAGGCAAGTTCAGCACCAAAGTATGAGCCCACCTGAAGAGAAGAAAACACTTTCTGTGGGATCACACAACATACACCCTGAGGGCCCAGCATTTTGTATCCAGCCATTTTAGTATGGCAACCCTGTTGAGACATCATATTATTTACTGGTTTATCATCATAAGATCTGTTTATTTCTGCCTGGAAACTTCTTGTGACTTTTTGCACAAAAAAGAAAGCAAAACCCAGTCTTATGACTTCAGAAGAAATAGATAAAGTAGGCGGAAGAGAGCTTTCATTTTTGCAAGAGTTAATTTTGTAGCTGTACTTATATTCGCTGCAAAGAAAACATAAAACTGCTTCTTCCTATGTCTTTCTTTCTTTCTTGTGCTTTTTGCCTCCCTCCCTTTTCTTTCATTTCTTTTCTCTCTATTAATTCATATTAGTTTTTAATCTCCTTTTTAAAGTCTTAATAGAAAAATTATGCAAGATAAAGGTCATGGAGCTGAGCTGATTACTTTGTGGTTAGCCGTTTTTAGGGAAGCGCTGAGCCGCAAAGAAAGGCTTCCCAGGCATAGATAGTTTGTTTAGGCAATCTCTCCGCTCTGGTGTTGTGTGCGGTATGTGTGTGTGTGTGTGTAAAAAGAGACTGGACATAGAGCAACACAATACTGCACTAACACCAATTTAGTTTTGACTGTTAGTTGCCTAGATTCTTATGTATCATCATCATCATCATTTCAGCCATTGTCTGTCCACTGCAGGATGAAATCTTATTCCTCATGTTTTCAACCAATACGGTCCTGAGCTTTCTTTTGCCAATTCGGCCTACAATACTTGCTGATGTCGTCGATCCATCTTGTTTTAGGTCGCTTTCATGGAAGAGGACCGAGTAGTGCTCCAGGAACCAGGAGCACTACTCAGGTGACCCTGAGGACACTGATAAACCTCCAAGTGGCCTCAAGGACTCTCTAAAAGGATGCAAATGACCAGCTGTCTGTAAGGAATACAAATCCTTCCATTCCCCACTATCCTGTCTGAGCTGAAGAAGCTTCTTGGATGAGAAGCAAAGTCCTTCAATTAAAAAAACAAGGAACTCCTGTTGCCTCCTGAAAAAGTACCTTTGGGATTTCGTGGAGAAGGTTTTCTCCAAGCCAACCATAATTTTCAAGAATAACCTCCCCCTGAAAAGAAAAGTTTTCAATTCATGTATGCTACCTGTTCTAACATGCTGGTGAAACATGGACATTAACCTCACAACTGATAGAAAAGCTACAAGTGGTGCAAAGAGCTATTGAAAAATACATGAAAGATTACAAGATAGAAAGATTTGCACATGGATTAGAGAACAAAAATTTGCAATGCCATCAAGACAGTACAAGAATTGAAATGGAAATCAGTTGGTCACTGATGGCATGTGGACCAAAGCAGTCATAGAATGGATCCCACTTGATCAAAAGCACCCACGAAAGAGACCTAAAACAAGATTCTTGTGACTACGTAGCAATAATAAGCTCTTCTTTGATTCGAACTCAACGAGTGGCTATTTGCTGTTTGCGCCTGACAATCGCAGAGGTTTTATCAGCTGAGGATCTGATTATCCAAAGGAGCCTAATTCTATTATTAAGAATCTACCCAGCCACAGGAATCTACAGATCTTCTTAACAGAGACTTGTTATTCTGGCAACTGGGAAAGGCCTCATTCTGCAGCACTGCCAAGCTGCAGGTGCTCTTCCTTAGGGGTGGTGCTTAGTTCCCACTCCGTCGTCCATTACAAGAGCGGCCAAATTACATTTCTTTCACCAAACTTTTAATAGTTAATGCACGCTTGGGTTGATTTTGATTTATGAATTGGTATTTTTGTACTGACTTTTATTGAGTCAGCCATCTAAAATGCTCATGATTGCGTAGAAAAATGGGGTCTGTCAAATAAATCAGTAAATAAATCAGATTGTCTAGTTGGCGTTGCATTCCAATCCTCATTAGGTTCAGCTAGCAAGTCCAACAGTATACAGGTAGTCCTTGACTTACTGTATAACTATAACTGAGCCTCAATTATGGTTATAAGTCACAGCAGCCATTAACTGGGTCGCCATAGGAACGTCCCTGATTTTATGACTTTTTTTGCTGCAGTTGCTAAGCAAACACAGTGGTTATTAAATGCACCTATTTTCTTCACCTATTAAATGCACCTATTTTCTTGCCGGAAATAGGACTGGCAAAAAAAAATTGTGAAAATTGTGGCCATTTGACCATAGGATGCTGCAAATAGTCATAAATGCAGGGCAGCTCCCAAGCGTCCAAAAAGCAAACACGGGACTGCAGTTGTGTATGTGATTATGCAGCCACTGGAGCTTCAGAACTGGGTTGTAAGTAGCTTTGGGGAAATATGTTGTAACTCTGAATGACGTAACTCTAAATGCTTGTTAAGTAACTGATCATTAAATGAGGACCACTTAAACTGAGGAGTCCCCTACTATGAATTGTCTCTGGTAACAATTCTCTCATTTCCATCTATGCTTATGTTCTAGTACAGTGGTTCCCAACCTTTTTTTCACCCCGCACCCCTAAATAAATTTCACTCGAACCTCACACCCCCTGAAATTTAGACTTTAGGAACTAATGACCGCGTTAAATATATGGTAGGATTGAATCTTTTCAGCTATATATGTGACGGCCACTAAATAACGATACTTAACTCTAAAATGAAAACAAAGTTAATCCATTGCATAATAAATAAAAATGCCAACATATAGCCAATATCCTATTATTTACCTGGACTTTTCTCGCACCCCCTGGAATATCGAGCACCCCAAGGTTGGGAACCCCTGTTCTAGTAGAACCTCTGCTGGATGCAGACTAATTATATGAAACCCTGTCCTTGATTCAAAACAAAAGTTGCATGAAAAACTTTTACAATCCTTCCGTCATGACAGTGAAGATGGATCTGCATTCCGTTTCCTATCCTCCCTTACCTGTTGACCCTGAATATTCCCTGTTAAGCGTCCACTTTTGCTTTCAAAGACCAGGACTTGGCCAACGTGCTGGAACCGAGGAGCTCCAGTGATGTAGAAAGTCCTTTGGTGAAAGCGAGCTAAAGCCACAGAGTAACCTGTCCAGCAAAGAGAAGAAACAACCTGTGGTTCATGGATTTGGCCAATTCAGCACTTAGGGGCAGAGGGTGGAGAAAAAGACCTGCCTCCATCACTCACCTATATAGGACTCACTGGTGCTGCTGTTGAGGAATTGGGTCCGGGGAGGTTCCTCAAAGGATGATTCTTCTAAGCCTCCAGTCCAGCTATAAGCACCGACGACTCCAGTCACCGCATGTTCCTGAAGAGAAAAGCAAACAAGGAATAGATGAAAGAGGGGCAATTCATTGACCCTCATATGCACATGTAGCCTTGTCACCAAGTAGACGTGGTCCTCAACTTATGACCACAACGGAGCCCCAAAATTTTGTTGTTAAGTGAGTTTTGCCCCATTTTATGACTTTTCTTGCCCCAGTTGGCAAGTGAATCGCTGCAGTTGTTAAGTTAGTAACATGGTTGTTAAGTGAATCTTGCGTCCCCAATTGACTTTGCTTGTCAGAAGTTTGCAAAAAATGATCACGTGACCTGAGGACACTGCAACCGTCATAAATATGAACGGGTTGCAAAGTGCCTGAATTTTGATCATGTGATCATGGGGATGTTGCAACTGTCATGAGTGTGAAAAACGGTCATAAATCACTTTTTTTCAGTGTCATTGTAATTTCAAACAGTGGCTAAATGAACTGTTGTAAATTGAGAACTACCTGTACCAGAAAAATTTGGGAGAAACCTGAAAAACCCAGGGATGTTTTTTATTGTATACTACTTAAAAGTCTCTCTGTGAGGGTGATGGATGGTTCAAAAATGCAATAAATAAATAAATAAATCCCCATTCCCTCACCCACAAGGAAACTACCTATATTTCCCCCAAAATAAAACCGGGTCTTATATTAATGTTTGCTCCAAAAACGGTATTAGGGATTATTTTCTGGTTAGGTCTTATTTGGGGGAAAATATGGGACTAAAATGCATCTGCCCAGCTGGAATCTTAACTGGGGCTTATTTGGGGGTAGGGCTTATATTATGAGCATCCTGAAAAATCATGCTAAGGCTTATTTTCCAGTTGGGTCTTATTTTCGGGTACATACAGTATTTTAATAACTTATTTCTTCCTCTTGCCTATGGGTTTAGAGCAGCCTACTACAGGATTTTTAAAACAAAATTATGATTCTTTTCCTTAAGATAGTAGTAAACAAATAATGGGTCACCAATGACTTTCAGTTGTGAAAACACAGCAAAATTTTCAACCCCTCCCTCCTATTTCCTTTGGCTTTAGAGAAGTACTACAGATCAGAATAAAGGGATGCGGTGGCTCAGTGGCTAAGATACTGAGGCTTGTCCATCAGAAAGGTCGGTAGTTCAGCAGTTTGAATCCCTAGTGCCGCGTAACGGAGTGAGCTCCCATTACTTGTCCCAGCTTCTGCCAACCTAGCAGTTCAAAAGATGTAAAAATGCAAGTAGAAAAATAGGGACCATTTTGGTGGGAAGGTAACAGTGCTCTGTGCGCCTTCGGCATTTAGTCATTCTGGCCAATGACCATGAAGACATCTTAGGACAGTGCTGGCTCTTCGGCTTTGTAACGGAGATGAGCACTGCCCCCTAGAGCCGGAAATGACTGGCACATATGTGCGAAGAGAACCTTTACCTTACAGATCAGAATGGGTGTTTAAAACATCCATGCCATGCCTGTCTTTGCTTTTTTAGCCTTTTTTAGAAAAAAAAATATGATGAAAGCTTATACTTTCACAAAGGGTATTATTTAGTATTAGTTTACTCACTGGTGTAAGAAGGGAACTGAATCCACCTTGGGAAAATTCTTTCTCAAAAAAACTGCTGGCTGAAGCATCAGGTGATGGTTTAGAGACTCCTTTTTCAAAGTAGAAAAATAATGAATAAGAACAACAATTGACAACAGCACCAAAATACTTGAATTTTATAAATCATGTAATAAACTTATGCAATTTCCGATGCTATTCATGGCTTCTATGAGCTCTGCTGCTTTGAGGCCTGTTGTGTGATGTCATGATGGTGCAGCCCTCGAGTTGCAACTATAATGGAATCTCCCCATTATGGTCATAAGTTATAAGGGTTGCAAAATGGGTCAGTCACATAACCAACCCGATTTTAGGACATTTTTAGGAGCAGCCAGTAAGCAAATGTGACAGTGTTTAAGTGTGGGCACTGTGGCCAGTATGCAAATGCTGTGGTCGTTAAATAAAACCATTGTTCACTACAGTACGGTTTTGCCAAAAAGCAGAAATGCCAGTCTTCCATGTTACCAAGCACCTGAAGTGCAGTCATGTGACATGAGGAACTTCAAATCTGGGTCATAACCACCCTTAGAGATAGGTTGTAATTTCAACCAGTCACTAACCAGCCAGTCAGAAGTTGAGCAGTACCTGTAGTAACATAATCTGTCTTAAATGAAGCAAATTGTTTTGTTCCCTCATGAGCATACAGTTTGCCAAATTTTAAAAGTTTCATTTATCTTTTTATTATCTTTTTCGGGTCTCTAGAGATGGGCTGAATTATTGCTCCCCTGCAGAATGAAGGTGGGTTGGCTCTCCTTTCAATAAAATTTACCTCAGCCTTGAGATAAATCATTTTTATTTGTCTCAGCCTTGAAATAAATCACAGAGAAGCTCTTATAGCTTGCCAGCAAAAGAAATTTTTAAGATTTTTATTTTAAAAATCACCCCCCAAAGAGCATCAGAAGAATGATTGGAAAAGGAGGAGTTCACACCTTCAATATTAAAGATCTTGTCCTTCAGCTGTTTCTGAAGCTGTTCAAGGGCGCCAAAACTTTCCACGGGGAAAACATTTTCATTTGATGAAGCAATTCTGCGGAGCTCATCCTGAGCTGTCAAGAAATTCTGACCAACCTGATAGATACAAGGGAAGGAGAAGGATACACTGGATAATGTATCGATGGAGATTCTCAGTCATCCAGGTCATGGTTGTCCCAAAGGTGTTTCTTTCAAGAGACTTTTTTCGGGGGAGGGTTTCTTTGAAGATGTTTTGCTTCTCATTCAAAAAGCTTCTTCAGCTCTTGAATCTTCTTCTCTTCTCTCTGAAGAGCTGAAGAAGCCTCTTGGATGAGAAGCAAAATGTCTTCAAAGAAAAACCATAAAATCCAGTTGCCTCTTGAAAAAAAACACCTTTAGGACGGGATAATATAGGTAGCCCTTAACTTATGACCACAACTGAGCCCCAAATTTCTGTTACTAAGTGAGACAGTTACATAAGTTTTGCCCCAATGTAGGACCTTTCTTGTCACCGTTGTTAAATGAATCACTGCAGCTGTGAAGTTAGTAATATGGTTGCTAAGTGAATCTGACTTCTCTACGGACTTTGCTCATCAGAAAGTCGCAAAAGGGGATCACAGGACTGTGGGACACTGCAAATAAATGCTAGTTGCCAAGCAATTGAAATTTGATCATATGATTAGGAGGAATGCTACAGAAATCATAAGGATGATAAATGGTCATGCTGTTCTAACTTTGAACAGTCAGTAAATGAATGGTTGTAGGTCAAGGATTACAGGTAAGAACAAATTTATATTAACTTCCTAGAACTCCACATTCTCTTCCCTTTCTAGCTACCAATTAGGTCAGTTTCATCCAGGATGTTTCCAGGACTTAAAAGCACTGGAATCTACCAATACATTGTTCCCATAGTCTTCCTTTATAAGTCAGAAGTCAAGCAGAAATATTGGTTATCTTGCTTTTAGCCTTACAACTTAAAAAAAGAGCTATTTTGCTATCCTGACCAATAATAGACAAACATGGATGAAAATGGGTAGATTCCTCCTTCATACTAAGCTGTGGTTTGATTTAGCCAGTTGTACAGGCCACAGAAGTTGGGCTTGCAAAAAATGTTAAGCCATAAACCAGGACCTTACTACTGACATGCTCTGAACAGCAGATCAAGGGTCATCTTCCAAAAGTGGACAATGAGGGGATCCAGTTTGGGGGCAGATTTCAAAGGTTTTGAGGGTTTCCCAACCTTGGCAACTTTAAGAAGAATGGACTACAAATCCCAGAATTCTCCAACCACTGCGTCCGGTCCTTTAAAGAAGCTCTTGAGCTTCCAAAATTCTTAGACCAACTTTCCCCAACCTGATGTTCTCCAGACAGACTTCAACTTCTAAAATGTTTAATCAGCAATGGCAAAAATACTTCAAGATCATTAATATTGTCTTGAATACTTTGAAGAAACTCCTCTGGTTGGCTAGATTTTGCCCAGTGGGGTGTGCCCAGCCTCTCTTTGTAGACAAGGAATGCTCAAAGTTTCATTTTGATAAAACCAGATCTTAACAAGATGGCTGTGACCAGAGGTGCCATTACAGTTTCCAATAGTCCTTGTTTGTGATCCACCTAGAGCAGTTTTTTCAGCCTTGGCAACTTCCAAATATGTGACTTCAAGTACCAGAAAGTTCTTCAATGGCCATGTTGGCTGAGGAATTCTGGGAGTTGAAGTCCACACACCTGGAAGTGCTCAAGATTGGGAAATGTTGATCTAGAACCACTGTCTCCATTTTCCTGCATACCCCAATGGCATAGCGGATTATCCCTTTTTTGTTGGCAGCTTCTGTTGCCTCTTTAAATGTGGTGCTTCTGTCATTGGAGATGCCATCCGTCAGAACAATGAGCAGTTTCTTGCTGTGAGGACGCATGCCACGATTTGCTGTGAAGACCTCTTCTCTGTAAAGAGAACCACATCTGTGTGGGTCTATAAGGCACATCAGAGACTTTTCCCTCCCTCCCTCCTTCCCTTCTCTGGTACTCACACCACATAGACAATAGCAGATGGAGTGAAGGTTTGTCCTTTGAAACGTCCTAAATTGTGGATAAGATCTTTAATCTTCTCTCTAGTGTTGTTATAGGTCGCAAAATCAAAAACAAGTGTGTTTATAGAGGAGTACTGAACCGCAGCAAACTGGGGATGGAAAGAAAAAAAAGATGTTCATATAATACACACACACACGCTGTATACACACATATACTGTATACATACATATCCAGTATATATAAATACTTTTAACATTGTGTAAGACAGGAAATAAACAAGAATACTAGATAATCAAGAGCCAAGGTGGCACAGTAGTCAGAGTGCAGTACTTTCAGCAATTCAAATCTCACCAGGCTCAAGATTGACTCAGCCTTCCATTCTTTCCAAGATCGGTAAAATAGGAACCTAGATTGTTGTGGGCAATAGGCTGACTCTGTAAACTGCTTAGAGGGGGCTGTAAAGCTCTGTGAAGCAGCATATAAGTCTAAGTGCTATTGCTATCACTAACCACCAAAAGCAGACACATCTCAAAATGTAGTCACATTCCCCATCTATCCTCAGAGTTGTCAGAACTACAGCTACTGTTATTTGCATCACACAGTCAGTCTTTGAGATCCAACAAAAATACGATTTATCTCTCTGTGAATTCCACATTAAAATTTTATCTTAGTCCAGTGACAAATCAAGGAAGAATTTCCACTACTGAGTAATTACTTAGCGGCTAAGACTAAAAATATAAGTTCCTTTTTTGTTTAATGTTGACCTAGAGCGCGCGTGTGCGTGCACACACACACACACACACACACACACACACAGATATTTAGTAACTTCCCTGATCCAATGTTTGGTTCTCCTGCACTTATTATGGGAGCTGCAGATCCATAGCAATAGACTTGGGGGAAACTCTAGTAATTTTCTCATAATGATCTCTCACTTTTCTTCCTGCAGCCTGCAATTCTTAAAAATATTACTACAGGTACCATAGTCCTCAACTTGCAACCACAACGGAGCCCAACATTTATGTTGCTAAGTGAGAAATTTGTTAAGTGAGTTCTGCCCCATTTTATGACTTTTCTTGACACGTTTGTTAAGTGAATCACTGCAGTTCTTAAACTAATAACACAGTTGTTAAGTGAATCTGGCTTCCCCCATTGACTTTGCTTGTCAGAAGGGTCACCAAAGGGGTTCACGTGGCCCTGGGGCACCGCGACCTTCATAAATGCGAACCATTTGTCAAATATTGTTGTCAAATATTCAAATGTAAAACACACGACCATGGGGATGCTGCAAAGATCACAAGTGTGAAAAATGGTCATACGTCACTTTTTTTCAGTGCCATTGTAACTTTGAATGGTTACTAAATGAACTGTTGTAAGCCGAGGACTATCTACATAAGAAAATTAGGTAGTCAATTATTCTCAACCCACCAGAGGTGTTGGACTAATCATTTCCAGGACATAAATGCCAAATATAAAAAGTTGGGGTGGAAAGTCACAGCCATTGTAAGTGGAAAAGAATCAAAGTTGCTCAACAGACCCCAACCTCACACACACACACACACACACACACACACACACACACAGAGTTGCACAGAAAGAGCCATGTTTGGAGATTAGACTCTGATAGCTTTGAAAACTACCCTTCTGAGCCAAATTTGGGCTCAGAATGTAACAAAGCAATATTGGGTTGCATAGAGCAGCTCTAAACCAACAGCTGCACAAAGCCAACCTGCAGTTATTCAATAAAGGGGTTGAAACTATCAGCCCCGCATGCCCTCAAATCTTGCTCTCACCTGCACATCTGCCCCAGCCACCGAGTCCATCAGTTTCAGGAAGAAGTTCTTCATGGTGTGGAGGTCAGAGTCTTTAATGCTCCCAGAATCATCGTATAAAATCACAGCATCCACACCAAAGACGCACTCTGGATGGACAAGAAGGAAGAGAGATTGAATAAAAATTAGCATTACCTTGGTTTAGCAAGTTCCCAGACGTTGGTGGGAAAATTTTCTTGGGTTTCCTATATTTGGCATATAAACTAGATAGATGGATGGATGGATGGATGGATGGATGGATGGATGGATGGATGGACGGATAGACAAATATTCTTCACTCATAAAGAAAATTGATCTCTCTACTGGGTAGCAGACTCTAAGGAATTTCCTGTATTAAACCCCTTCTCCCATATGATTACTAGTAGACCTTGAATTATGACCACAGTTGAGCCCAAAGTTTATGTTGCTAAATGGAAATTTGTTAAGTGAGTTTTGCCCCATTTTATGATGTTTCTTGACACGTTTGTTAAGTGAATTGCTGCACTTGTTAAATTTGCGGATGATATCAAGCTAGCACGAATAGCCAACACTCCAGAAGATAGGCTTAAGATACAGAAGGATCTTGATAGACCTGAACATTGGGTGCTAGCTAACAAAATGAAATTCAGTGGTGAAAGAATTAATGTTCTGTATTTAGGGAAGAAAAACAAATTGCACAGGTACAGTATATGTGGTATCTTGTTCAATGGTAGTAACTGTGACAGTGATCTTGGAGTCCTAGTGGACAGCCATTTAAATATGAGCCAGCAGCGTGCAGAAGCTGCCAAAAAAGCCAACACAGTTCTAAGCTACATAAACAGAGGGATAGAAGCAAGTTCATGTGAAGTGTTAATACCATTTTATAATGCCTTGGTAGGGCCACACTTGGAATACCGCATCCAGTTTTGGCTGTCATGGTGTAAAAAAGATGTTGAGACTCTAGAAAGAGTGTGATTAGGGGACTGGAGGCCAAAACATATGATTGGTTGCAGAAATTGGGTATGTCTAGATTAATGAAAGGAAGGACTAGGGGTGACATGATAGCAGTATTCCAATATCTCAGGGGCTGCCACAAAGAAGAGGAAGTCAAGCTATTCTCCAAAGCAACTGAGGGCAGGACAAGAAGCAATGAATGGAAACTAATCAAGGAGAAAAGCAAGTTAGAACTAAGGAGACATTTCCTGACAGATAGAACAATGAATCGGTGGGGGAGAAGGGAGGAGCTTGCGCCGTGACGATACGGTCTGCAATCGAGCTCTTTGATTGCAGCCGATATCTCCGTTACTGGCCGGTCCAAACGGACCTATGCTGTCCCGTAGGGACAGCTATTGTGAAGAGCATACCCTGAGGACTCCGGGGATATCGCAAAATCCCTGGAAGACCCGGGTGAAGCTCTCTTTGCTGGCGGCGGAGAGGCAGCCCCCATGCTGCTGAAGTCGGGGCGGCTCCAGAAAGAACGGGTCTGAGAGAGAGTCTGTCGGTTGGGTGAGAAACTTTTTTTTATTTAATTTTTTGAAGCCTTGAAAGTTCACTCTGATTATTAGAAGAAATCTGTGTGATTTTTTTTTCTTTTGACAAAACTGACTAAGCGGCGTTTTTTTTAAGGGAGACGTCAAAGAGAGAATTTATTTGCTTTTTTTTTTCTTTGCTTCCGGACTTCATTGTTATTTACTGGATAACTGGACTGTTCTTTTTTATATTTATATGTTTTATTCTTCCTTTGGATTTTTCATTTTTAGGCTAGAGGCTCCCTTTGTTTATTTTTTTATTCTTTTTTGCCTTTATATGTTTGTGTATTCCTTGCCGGCTTTTCTTTTTTTTTATGCTGTTCAGAGAGGAGGGGGGAAAGTGAGAACTAAGAAACTTTGTAACACTGCCAACTAGAGGCTTGGAAACATTTTATTTGAACTGGAAAAAGACGAAGTACTTCTTCTCAAGGACATCTTCTGATAAGATAGAGGAAAGCGCTCTGTAGAATATTATTACAGGTGTCTTTCTGGATATTTATGGCTTAGCTTTGAAGCTTGTGGGAAAGAGAAGGGAGTCATAATTAGAGCCTTGGACAATTAAATAGAGTGCAGTGTATTGCTGCTTACTTTCTTTTTTTTAATTCTTTTTTTTAGTTCCGCCACCCCCTCCACCAGCATCAAAGTCTTTATTTTTAAGTTTGATTTATTTGCAAAGGGAAGCCTCTGAATTTTTTTTATTTTTATTTTATTTTATTTTACTTTATTTTTTCTCCTTTCTATTTGGACTTTGCTTTTCTTTTTAATATATATCAATGGACTATTTCTTTTTTCTTTTTTCAATTGAGATTTTTTTTTGGGCTGGATTAAGGTGTGGAATTTGAAGAAATTTATTCTTCTTGTTTTTTGTTTTGTTTTTTCTCTCTTTTTCTCTTTTCTTTCTTTTTGGCTTTGGCCTTGTTTATTATTATTATTACTGGGTTTTTATTTTTATTTTTACTTTCTTTTGTGGATTATTTTTTTAATTGGATTAAGGTCAGGAAGAATTTGAAGAATTTTTTCTTTTTTTCTCTTTTTTTTTGCTCTTTTCCTTTTTCTTTTTCATGTTTTTCTTCTTTTTCCTTCATTATTGATTCTTTTTTATTATTGGCCTTTTTATTTTGGATTATAATTGGCTACTCTTTTTGGATTAAAATTTGAAAGAACTGGAAGAGCTGGAACCATTTAAAATGAGTAAGAAACTTATATCTTCGGGTGCCTCTATGTCTACTTCTGCCTCCCCACCATCTGGACAGCGTTCAATTCAGACAATGTTAAAGCAAGATAAAGAAAAAGAACAAGAAAGAGCATCTTTTCAGATGATTATGCAAGGAATTCAAGATCTTAAGATAAAAATAGATACCATTGAACAAAGAACAGGGAGGACGGAGGAAAAAGTGGAAAGTATTCAACAGATGATGGTAAAATATGAGGAGAGACTTCAAAAAGTCGAAGAAGGGGGCAAACGAAGAGAGGAGAAGATTGGAAATATTGATAATAGACTAACAGTGATTGAACAAGAAAAAAGTGGGATGTTGAAGTGGGAGTTGGATAGATCAGAATTCTATCTCAGATTTCAAAATATAGAAGAAGAAAAAGGACAAGATTTGGCTGCGATAATGGTAGGAATCTTGGCGGATGCGTTGGAGATAACAGAAGAGAAGATGATGGATGGAATAGATGAGATATATCGAGTTTTTACAAGATATGCGATGAAAAATAATCTGCCCAGAGAAGTCCATATTAGATTTACTAAAAAATCCATGAAGACACAAATATTACAAGTGGCAAGAGAGAAGATATTGAAATACAAAGGTAAAGAAATTTTGGTTTAAAACAAATACCTAGAAGAGTGAGAGAGATGAGAAGAGAATATCGATTCCTGACCAAAATGTTATTGAAAAAGGAGGTGACTTACAGATGGCTGATCCCAGAAGGATTGATGTTTACGTGGCAGGAACAGAGACATAGAATTGATTCAATTGAGAAAGCAGAACTGTTCTACGCAGAAGTTTTTGGAGGGAGAGAAGTAGAGGCAGAAAAGGAGGTTCCATTAACTGAATCCCAAGAGGAACAAATGGAGATTGGAAAAGAAGAAGGTGCAGTAGGTGGACAAGTGGATATTAAAGACCAGCGTGAATCAAGACCCACGAGAGTGGTTAAATCTAAATATAAAATATAATCATGGAAGAAAAAAAACTGATTACAATGAATATAAATGGACTGAATTCAGCTGCTAAGAGAAGGAAGACTTTCCATAAATTAAGGAAACTAAAGTTTGATATAATTTGTCTACAAGAAGTACATATTAAAAAGCAACATGAACAATTGTTATTACAACCAAAATTAGGGAAATTGTTTACCTCTTTGACTCAATGTAAGAAAAGAGGGGTGGTCTTATATATTAAAGAGGCTATCCCAGCAAAAATGATTTATACAGATGAAGATGAGAGAATATTAATGGTGGAAATAATGGACAATAATAGAAAGATACTTTTGACTGCAATTTATGCCCCGAATGATAAACAGGAAGAATTCTATAAAAAATTACATACCAAGATGGCTGGACTGGACTATGCTAATATAATTATGATGGGAGACTTTAATGGAATTGTGGATAATAAACTTGATTATATTGCAACAGCAGCAAAGTATAATAGAAAAACTCTTCCTAAATCTTTTTTTTAAAATGATAGATGAATTAACCTTAAAAGACATATGGAGAGAAAGAAATATTAAACTTAAGCAATATACGTTTTATTCAAATAGACATTTATCATGGTCCAGACTTGACATGATTTGGATCTCAACAGACTTAATATCTAGTATTCAAGAAGTAAATATTGAAACAAGTACTTGGGCTGATCATAACCCATTGACAATTAAATGGAAGGGACAAAAAAAAAGATCGAGATGGACATTAAACAATACTATTTTAAAGGAGAAAGAATTTATACAATGGATGGAGAAAGAATTGGCTTTTTTTTTAAAGAGAATAGAAAAGAAGACACTTCAATACAGAATGTTTGGGATACAATGAAGGCTTATGCTAGAGGCTTGATAATAGACTATACAAGAAAAAAGAATATTAGGAAAAGGCAAGCTTTCAAAGCCTTGGAGGATGAATATAAAAGACTCGAAAAAGAACTGCAGAAAATACCACAGAAAAAAGACGTCAAATTGAAACTGGATATAACTAAACATAAAATGGACTTAATAGAGAAAGAAGAACTGGCACAGAAAATTAGGAATGCTAAACAGAATTATTTTGAAGATGCAAATAAGCCAGGTAGATGGCTAGCATATAAGTTGAGAAAGGAGAAAGAGTCGAGGAAAATATTGCAGTTAATAGATGACCAAGGTAAAACTTGTCATGGCAGCAAAGAGAAAAAAGAAATTATTTATGATTTTTACAAACATTTGTATAAGAAAGAAGATATTGATGAGGAGAAAGTTAAACAATACCTGCAGAATGCAAATCTACCTAAGATACCTAAAGAGATTGAAGAAATGTTAGAAAGCAATATAACAATGATGGAGTTAAGCCAAGCACTTAAGAAACAAAATAATGGAAAGGCACCAGGTCCAGATGGGTTTCCTGTAGAATTTTATAAAACCTTTCCAGAATCACTGTGTATTCCACTGTTAGAAGTTATGAATGAAGTTATGTTAAAAAAGATAATACCTAAAACATGGTCAGAGGCTTATATTACATTTATTTCAAAAGAGGAGGCGGACCTACTTCAAATCAAGAATTATAGACCGATTTCCTTATTAAATGCAGATTATAAAATTTTTGCTTCAATATTAGCAGAAAGACTTAAAAAGTATCTGAATAACTTTATCCACCCAGATCAAAATGGGTTTCTGCCAAAGCGACAAATTAGAGACAATATGAGAGTAATTCTGGACACCTTGGAATATTATGAGGCGCATCCTGAAAAGCAAATGGCTTTGATATTTTTAGATGCTCAAAAGGCATTTGATAATGTAAATTGGAGATTTATGTTACTTTTAATGGAACAGATGGGCTTTGCTAGAAGATTTATTCAAGCAATAGAAGCAATTTACAATGAACAAACAGCTAAGGTAATGATGGAGGGAGAATTTACAGATCCTATTAATATAAGAAAAGGCACAAGACAAGGTTGTCCTCTTTCTCCCTTGTTATTTGTATTGACTTTGGAAGTGTTGAATAGAAATATCAGAGAAGATAAAACTATAAAAGGAATGAAAATTAAAAAGGAAGAATTTAAACTACAAGCTTTTGCAGATGACCTAGTCTTTATCTTGGAAGACCCTATAGAAACAGCCTTGAAGCTGTTGGAAAAGATAGAGGCATATGGGGAGGTGGCCGGTCTGAAAATAAACAAAGATAAAACAAAGATTTTGTCAAAGAATATGTTGCTGAGACAAAGAGAAGAACTGGCAGAATTGTTAAAAATTCAAGTTACAAATAAGGTTAAGTATTTGGGGATATATTTGACGCCAAGATGTAGTACATTAAAGGAGAATAATTATATTAAACTTAAACAACAGATAGCCCAAGATTTGAAAAAATGGGAAAACCTACAATTGTCATTAATAGGAAGGATTTCAACAATTAAGATGAACATTCTACCCAGAATTTTATTTTTGTTTCAAACAATACCAATTAGGCTTGGAAAAGAATATTTTGAGGATTTAAATAAAATTGTTTTGAAGTATATATGGCAAGGCAAGAAAGCAAGGATAAAGTTGAAGCTTTTACAGGATGCTAGATCTAGAGGAGGGTTTGGCCTGCCTAATTGGGAGTTGTACTACCAAGCTGCAAATTTGATGTGGGTTAAAGAATGGATAACATTAAGGAAAACTAGATTGTTGACATTAGAAGGTCATGATTTGTTGTTGGGTTGGCATGCTTTTTTATGGTATAAGGGAACCAAAACACAGGGGTATTTTAGAAGACATTATATACGGGAGTCTCTGTGGTTAAATTGGGAGAAGACAAAAAAACAATGTTATTTGAAAATTCCAGTTTGGTTATCGACGATAGAAGCGTTTTCTTACCCTATAATCTATAAAAAGGAACAAACAGTTAGCTATGGGGAATTACTAGATGAAAAGGGTGAACTTAAATCGATGCAAAAATTAGAGGAACAAGGTATACAGATGAATTGGTTTTCATATCTGCAAATACATTCAAAGTATTATGAGGATTCCAAAGCAGAGGGATTTTATGATAAACAAACTGATTTAGATAAGATTTTGATGGGTACTGATGAAAAGGTGATTAAAAAATTATATGGTTACTTATTGGAAATTAAGCTGGAGGAAGAACAAGTTAAAGAAACTATGATTGCTTGGGGGAGGAATTTTGGATATGGGATTGATTTAGAGAAATGGCAGAAATTATGGTTGCAAAATTATAAAATGACAATGTCTACAGCCTTTAAAGAAAATTTGTATAAGATGTTTTACAGGTGGCATTTTCCCCCGACAAGGATAGCAAGAATGTTCAAGAACAAATCCGAAAAATGCTGGAAATGTCATCAGAAACCTGGTTCATACTACCATATGTGGTGGACTTGTGAGGATGCTAGAAAATATTGGACTAAAATCCACATGTGGTTGGAAAAAATGACAAAGAAGCACATAGACTTGAAACCGGAGCTTTTTTTATTGGGAATCTTACCAGATGTTTATAGTAAAGAGCTGAAATATTTGATTGTAAATGTATTGACTGCGGCTAGGATTGTATTTGCAAAAAATTGGAAAAATGAGAAAATTCCATTGCAGGAAGAAGTCATAAAGAAAATATTGGAATGTGCTGAGATGAGTAGATTGACTTTTGAAATCAGAGAGCAAGAAGATAAACAATTTTATATAGTTTGGGATCTTTTCTATCAACGGTTGAATGATGAAATACAAAAATAGAAATGTTAGACAACAAGGAATAATATTGATTTCATTTTTCTTTTCTCTTTTTTGGTATTGGATATTATATTTATATAATAGTTTTCTGTTTCTTTTTTTTTTTCTTATTTAGGATAGAATTGGCACGATTATATGATTTGTTTTAGAATAAATTACTTAAAATATAGTTATCTCACAAAGGCATGATCGAATAAAAGTTTAGTCAAACTTCTTTTTTTAATAGTGATATTATGATTTATAAGTTTGTGTTGACAATAAGAGTTATTATATAAGGTAATTGTAATTGTGACTATGAGATGAGTGCACAAAACTGATGAACCAACCGACTCACTGTTTGTATATAAATATGGGGGAGCTGATGTTTTTATGTTTTGTCTGTTTGTTTGTATGTTAAAAAACAATAAAAACTTTTATAAAAAAAAACAAACAATGAATCAGTGGAGCAACTTGCCTCCAGAAGTTGTGAATGCTCCAACACTGGAAGTTTTAAAGAAGATGTTGGATAACCATTTGTCTTGAAATGGTATATAGGGCTTCCTGCCTAAGCAGGAACTAAACAGGTTGAACTAGAAGATCTCCAAGATCCCTTCAAATTCTGTTATTCTATTCTAGGAATACCGTTGTTAAGTGAATCTGGCTTTTCCCATTGACTTTGCATGTCAGAAGATTGCAAAAGGGGATCACGTGACCCCAGGATATTGAAATTGTCATAAATATGAACCAGTTGTCAAGCATCCAAATGTAAATCACATGACCATGGGGATGCTGCAACGGTCAGAATTGTGAAAAATGGTCATAAGTCCCTTTTTCAGTGCTGTTGTAACTTTGAATGGTCACTAAGTGAACTGTTGTAAGTCGAGGACTACCTCAACACTTTCACAGTTATGATTGTTGCAGCATCCCCATGGTCAAAATTCAAATACTTGGCAACTGACTCATATTTAGGATGGTTACAGTATCCCGGGATCAGGTGATCCCCTTGCAATCTTTTGGCAAGCAAAGTCAATGGAGAAGCCAGATTCACTTAACAACCACGTTAATAACTTAACAACTGCAGTGATTCATTTAACAACTGTGACAAGAAAGTTCATAAATGGGGCAAAACTCACTAAACAACTGTGTCACTTAGGAACAGAAATTTTGGATGCAATTTTTTTTCATAATTTGAGGCTTACCTGTACATCCCAACCTGGATTTTTGTCATGGCTGGCTTCACCAGAAACCAGAGTGAGATAGCTACCTCTGGCAATACAAATTGTGTGTGTCACAAGAGATCACCAATAATTATTTAATGTGCTTATCTTTGGCATTTTTACAGTGAAGGAGAAGAATAATTCCTTGCAAAACTTTTTGCCTTGGCTTTTTGCCTTCTAAGAGAGATGGGTGCCATTTTTATCCTTTCTCATGTAGCAAAGATCTTGGCACAACCTAGCTTTCAAATCTAATGTGCAAATGTGAATTTCTCATCTGACCTTGGAAAGCTGGCTGGATCTCCTTCACATTTCCATCGATGCCATTCATAATATAACACACGCCGTTCAGATAATCAAGTTGCCCACATCTTCGTTCCCAAGTGGGACCACAGGCCTGTGCATAAGAAGAGTCAACACAAATAGCTCTTGTAATCTTCGCAGAGGAAGTATTCAGCAGGTTCTGACCAATTCTGGAGAACGGGTAGCAGAAATTTTGAGTAGTTCGGAAAACCACTTCTGACTGGCTCTGTCCCCATCTATTCTCTGCCTCCCAAGTCCCTGCTGATCAGCTGGGTCTTCTTTTGTTGCCTGACAGGAGAACGGAGCTGGAAAGCAGGTCAGTGGAGTGGGGAGGGAACAGGATTTTGCAGAACCTTCCCCTGGAGTGGGGTGGGAATGGAGATCTTACAGTATCCTTCCCCTGCCACGCCTACCAAGCCACGCCCACCAAGCCACACCACGCCCTCCAAGCCACGTCCACAGAACTGGTAGTAAATTTTTTTGAATCCCACTACTGGGCAGAGCAACAAGAATTATACACCCAGAGCAGGTCAGTCTTTCTAAGCAATGGGCTCATATCCTCTGCAGACCGACATAGATTCTACTAATATTTTTATTGTGTTTAGATTTTCTGTTTTAATTCTACTTCTAACGATTGCTTACCATTATTTTAGATTCAGATGCTTCATCAGCAGCCAATGAAAGACCCAAAGATATTCTAGGAATGACCTTGGTATCTGAAAAGATAGAGAAGAGGATTAGACTAGAAGACCTTCAAAGTCCCTTCCAACTGTTATTCTGATTGTCTCTATTTTACAGACTTATCACTTTCAAACATACACATCTAACCAAGGGAGGCTTTTTAAAGAAATAAATAATATCTCATGATGGATTTTGTTGGTCTTATTTGTGGCTCAAATGCATTCTGTAACTTCGCCTGACTAAGAGATTTTGGAGTAGAAGCAAGGACTCACAGCCACGTGTGTTCTGATGTGCATGACTGTTAGGAGTTGTTCAAATAAAATGCTAGTTACTAAGAATGTATTTTTTAAAAAAGGTTTTACTACCGTATTATATTTCTAATCTATCCAATAACTGGCATTCTGCAAGTTGATTGCAAAGGTAGCAAAAATATATATTAAAAAAATAAAAACAAATAATGAAGTGGGATTAATTAATAGCACAGGGAAGAATCGTAATAATCTTTGTGTCCTACTTCCTGTGAGAGCATCTAGCCTTCCTTATTTTTTGAAATTTATTCTCACTATAAGATTATATTGCAATAATTCCCTGTCTTTGGAGGAGACTGAGAAAATTAAAACTTGGAGTCCTAAAAAAATACAGGTAGTCCTTGAAATACAACAGTTCATTAATGACTGTTTGAAGTTACAGAGGCAATGCAAATAGTGACATGACCGTTTTTCACACTGATGACCACTGCAGCATTGCAATGGTCATGTGATTTACATACAGATGCTTGACATCTAACTCATATTCATGACAGCTGTATTGTTCAACAATCATTTTGCAACCTTCGGACAGGCAAAGTCAATGGGAAACCCAGATTCATTTAACAACCATGTTACTAATTTAACAACGGTAGTGATTCACTTAAGAAATATGGCAGGAAAAGCCGTAAAATGGGACAAATTCACTTAAGAATTTTTTCACGTAACATCATACATTTTGGGCTCAGTTGAGATTGTAAATTGAGGATTACCTCTAATCTCATAAAATATAATCCCTTAGATTAAGTTGGACTGGATTCCAAATCGTAATAATTCATGTTTTTTTTCTTAATCATGGTTTGTTGACAAATCAATATTAACTGGGTTCACAGATGTGCTAATCTATGATATCTACTAGGTTTGTGTAACATGCTAATGAAAATCAAACTATATTATAGTTTAGGGATTTATGTGAACCTAGTAACTTACGTAAAACCAGTTTAAGCTTTCAATGCCAGTGTACTTTAAGAAACTCTCTTTTTATAAAATGAAATGGAAAAAAATCCATACATGAGAAAGTCAAAAATGTATCTCAGCTTGCACTTACTGTTGAAGACAATTGGTTGACACCTCTGTGTATCGTATGAGCATTGGAAAAGGGAACCTGTCCGATTGCCTGCGAGGGGAGCGCTCACTACCAGCCTAAAGGGATGTTAAATAATATTTTTGAATTAATATTTAAATATTATTTTAGAATTAATAGTTGAGACATGCATATCACTTCAAAAAAAAAATCAAGAACCATGTTCTTAACGTAATCAGCTCCATCCTCACCAGGAATTCCCATCGAATTTTGTCTGGACGACGCGATAGCCAAACTGGTCAGCTTCCTCCCCACGGAAAATCACAGGAGCCTCAAAATCGATGAGATTGAAAGCTGAAAAGCCTGGAAGGCCTGCAACAGAGGAAGGCAGCATAGAATCAGCGCTCCCAAGAGCACCTCTGGAGTTTTTTTCTTCAAAAAGGGGCAGGAACATCCCGATGACAGCAATGGAGGTAGGAGAGTGAATTATTCATATGCAGATGAATAATTCAGTGTACAACCAGGATTGGATCAGAACTTCAGTCGCCAGGCGGTCATTAAATAAGTCTTACGAACTCTTTTGCTGCAGTTGTTAAGGAAATCACTGTGGTTGTTAAGTGAATCCAGTTTCCCTCACTGACTTTGCTTGCAGGAAGTCAGCTGGGAAGGCAGGAAATGGCGATCATGTGACCCAGGGGAGCTGCAAGGATCATAAAAATATGCCAGGAGAATTAAGGAAAAAAATTTCCTGACTGTTAGAAGCATTAATAATTGGAACGACTTGCCTTCAGAAGTTGTGAATGTTCCAGCATTGGAGGCTTTTAAGAAGCGACAAGACAACCTGTCTGAAATAGTATGGGGGTTTCCTGACTGAGCTGGGGGTTGGACTAGAAGACCTCCAAGATCCCTTCCAACTCTGTTATTCTGCCAGATGCCAAGCATCCAAATTTTGATTAAGTGGCTGTGACAATACCGTGATAGTCGTAAGTGTGAGGATCAGTTGTACGTCCCTTTTTTCAATGCTGTTGTAACTTCAAATGGTTGCTAAATAAATGGCCCGTAAGTCAAGGATTACCTGTATTGACACTGTAAAAATAGCAAAGGTTGTCTGAAAGCAACAACCCCAAAACAAATTCAGGGCAGAGCCAGCTGAAAAATCAATGCATTGCATACAATGGTAGAGAGGCAGCTTTAGATTGGATTGTTCTGAAATTGATGCACAGGTAGTCCTCGACTTACAGCAGTTCTTTTAGTGACCGTTCAAACTTATAACAGCACTGAAAAGGGTGACATGCCCATTTTTCAGACTTACTATTGCAGCATCCCCATGGTCATGTGATCCAAATGTGGATGCTAGGCAACTGACTCATCTTTGTGAGGATTGCAGTGTCCCAGGGTCACGTGATTCCCTTTTGAGACCTTTTGGCATGGGGAACAACCGTGTTAGTAACTTAACAACTGCAGTGATTCACTTAACAACTCAGTCAAGAAAGATAGTAAAATGGAGCAACTTAATGACTGTCTTGCTTAGAAACATAAATTTTGGCTTAAGTGTGGTCATAAGCGACAGTCATTAAGTTAGTTTTGCTCCATTTCGCTACGACTGAGTTGTTAAGTGAATCACTGCAGTATATCCTTGGGGGGAAATGTTACCTATTTTGTCCCAAAGGAGCTTTTTCAAGAGGCAACTGGAATTTCTTTGAAGGCGTTTCGCTTCTTATCCAAGGTTTTGGATGAGAAGCGAAACGTCTTCAAAGGAAAACCAGAAAGTCCAGTTGCCTCTTTTAAAAGCACCTTTGGGACAATCATGACCTGGACGACTGAGAATCTCTATAGACAATTACCTATTGTGTTTACTCTGTATTGGTCATTGAATGCTAACTTGCTTGCTCTACTGAAGCTGGCTTCATCAGCTGCTCCTCTGACTCAAATCCGTGGCTACACTGGAGAACTACTCCGCCTGATGAAAACCCATAAATCAGTACAAGGAGTTGCCAAATAAAGGAAATAATCTTTACTCTGGCTCCGTGCGTTATAACATGAAAAAAATAATTCACTGAGGTTGAATAATAATTATTTCTTTCCTTTGGCAACTTCCACGCAGTGAGATTTTGTGGTATGTCATGGTGGTGAGGTCATCAGCATTTTGAGTGACTTTGAAGTGGAAGATACAAATATCCAGGTGACACAGCTATATGTGATTTGTAAAATAAGGGGCAGCTTATTTATTGTGTCTGCTTGTGGGTCTCCAATATGAATTTGGCCATTGTTAGAATATTGAGCTAAACAGACTTCTTGATCATTTGAGCAGGGGATAGAATTGGGACCTCTGAAGTCCGTACTAGCCCTATGAGTGTACGACTGTATGACTCTATTGTACACTGGTGTTCTCGAGCAGAGTTAAGCAATCTGATGCCCACCAGGGGTTCTAGACTATAGTTCTCTTAAGCCTCATTCCAGCATGCTCAGTGGGGGATTGTGAGAGTTGTAATGCAAGCTAACAGGAAGATATTGGGTCACAGACATCCACCACGTGATCAGCAATTCCCAACATTTGAGGCTTGGCAGCCTGGCTGAGGGAGAGGGGAACTGGAATGTGTGCATATGCGTTTTCCAGCCAGCCACTCACACAGCCCAATTTCAAACAGGCCATAGCCCGGTAGTGAACGGTGGCCAAGAGTTGGGGACCCCTAAGTTATGAAACAGACACAGTGTGGCCCCTCTCTAATACTCATCCTAACTGGCTTGTTATTAACCATAGTCAGTGGTTTTCCTAAGATGAAGCATGTCATCCAAATTTTAGGTTTGCCACTATTTCCAAATAGGTTAACCAGAAATTGAAACCAATGTTAACTGCTAGTTTTATATGCCAATTGACAGTAATTTTTTTTTTTTTTGCATTGGTTCAGTTCAAACTCAGGATTTATTTGTTATTAATCCAATTTTGATTCATCCCATTTATATGGCCACACATCTATCCAAGAAACTTTTGTAGATCAGCAAAATCACTACATTTTTTTAAAAAACCTGCAAATTGTAAAATCATAAAACCACTAATAATATGTACCCATATTACAGCTTTCATAATTAATTTTCTAGCTTCAGTGCCTGGGGGAATAGACAAGTCTTAACAACCTTGCGGAAGAGCAACAGATTTGGGGCCATGCATACTCCATGAGGGGGCTTTCTAAAGTCCATAAGGTAATTCCGTTTCCCGAGGCTACCTGAAGCACTCCGAGAACACTTTTTTTATTTTTTTGATTTGTCAATCGCTTACAAGACAATAGGTATAAGTATAAACATAGTTATGAATACATGAAATGGATACATATAAGAAAAATAAAAAGAAACAATAGGACAGGGATGGTAGGCACGTTGGTGCGCTTATGCACGCCCCCTACAGACCTCTTAGGAAAGGGATGAGGTCAATAGTAGAGTCTAAGGTTAAAGTTTTTGGGGTTTGGGGAAGAAACCACAGAGTCAGATAGAGTATTCCAGACATTGATCACTCTGTTGCTGAAGTCGTATTTCTTGCAATCAAGTTTGGTGCAGTTAACCTTGAGTTTGTATCTATTGTGTGCTCTTGTATTGTTATGGTTGAAGCTGAAGTATTCATTGACAGGTAGGACATTGCAATGTATGATTATACTTAGATCAGACTGAAGGCAGTGTAGTTCTAGGTTTTCTAGGTCTAGAATTTCAAGTCTGGTGGCATAAGGTATTCTGCAACAAGTAGAGGAGTGGAGAACTCTTCTTGTGAAATATTTCTGGACTTTCTCAACTGTGTTAACATCAGATACGTAATGTGGGTTCCAGACTGATGAGCTGTATTCGCGTATTGGTCTAGCAAATGTTTTGTATGCTCTCGTTAGTAGTGTGATATTACCAGAGAAAAAGCTACATAGGATTAGTTAACAACTCTTAACGCCTTTTTGGCTATGTTTATTGCTAGGAGTGGCAGTCCTACAAATAACCTGGTCCCATGTCACGTAGGGCTTTAAAGGTAATAACCAACACCGTGAATTGCATGCAGAAGCTACAACAGTTCACATAGCTATGGTGTTACATGAGCATACTGGAGTTGCTAAAACTGCACATGTCCCTGATTCTTGACTAACAAGAGCTCCTCTCCTTCGGTAGACCTCATCAAGTTCATTCACAATTTCTTGCCAATCTCTCTGCAATGCTTCCACTATCAGTTGTGACATTATAGCTCCAGGAACTTCATCTTTGCCTTCGGAAACATTCTGAACAGTTTTTTTTTTAAGCCACTTACTTCTGCAAATTTCACCACAAAATCATCAGAACTGTATGTTAAAGTTCATCATTGTGAATAAGTCTTTCAATTTCTTTAGTGATTCACAACATTTTTGCTTTAAAAAAATATATCAAAGGATTGCCTTGCTATGTACGTCTCTGTGACTTTTCTTGAGCAAGATGCCCTTGGTGCCCAGTAATGACCAATCTTGCGTAACAAAAGCCCAAAGTGAAGCAGATGACAGGCACCATTAGGACAAGTACCCTGTCTGCTCATGAAAAAGGCAGATAAACCCGCTGTTCCCCTTTGACTGCCTGGATAATACGGTCAATAAGAACAGGAAAAACAGTCAATAGAGTTGAAAGCTCTTCTGAAGGCCTAGAGCAGAGGTGTCAAACTCAAGGTCCAGGGGCCGGATCCGGCTCACAGGGTGCTTAGATCTGGCTCGCAGGGCTGCCCTGAAAACAGCAAAGGACCAGCCCACAGTGCTTCTGCTAGCAAAAATGGAGCTCACAAGGGCTCCATTTTCATAGTGCCCTCCCACCCTCCATTTCACTGGCAGAGAGTTGCAGGAGGCCATTGCAGCTGGAAATGGAGCTGGGGAGCCCATTTTCACTGGCACAGCGTCCCCTGACATGAGTGACATCATGCCCGCCACACCCACCTTGGCCACACCCATCCCAGCCCCCCGAGGTCAAACACAACCCTGATGTGTCCTCAGTGAAATCAAGTTTGACACCCCTGGTCTAGAGGCTTGATCAAGAAGAGCAATGCAAGAAGTTGTGTCAGGCTCCAAAACTTAGAAAAATACATGCTAAGTTACCCCAAAGCATTTTCCTTCATTGTTCCTCATTTATGGACAGAAATCTTACCAAATTAAAGCAAACAACTAGCATCAATAAAGATATACTCTGACAACTTCTGGAGAGGAGCTTCTTGAGCCTCTTCTTCCCATCCAAACTATCTAAATTTTGCTGTCTCTTGGTCCTCTGAAATGCAGCCCCTCCCTCCTGGGAATCCGAATTACATTCCACCACATTCTGACAAAGAACAGCCTGGTGAAGAGCTCAAACACTAACTCTGAGAGAACTTAGGCCATATAGGCAATATTGCCCCATACCAAAACATACATATCCCATCATACATCATTTAAACATGATTGCTCTGTATTTTAGGGACAGATTATATAATCTTGCAAAACCTTAATCTCTGCGCCCACATCTAGTATTTTCCTTTCCTAGGTAAGCACCCAACCTAATTTTAATTGTTGAAGCATCAAACTATGTTAAATAAAACAAGTAAATAAATGGGACAGCTTGCATAGATTCCTCTAAAAATCATTTTGGCTGCTTCAAGTGTGGTACATACTGGAATTAAGCCCAGATAGATCATTTCAGTCTGAGGGATAATAACCTTGAATTTTCAAAATTCTTAGCGAGAACGTAGAGGTAGTCCTCACCTAAGGACTAGTTCTTCAGTGACTGTTGGAAGTTACAATGCTGCTGAATGAGACTGGTGGCCAATCTTCATAGTTCAGGCTCGCCATTATGACAGTCGCAGTGTCTCACAATCATGTGATTGCTGTTTGTGATAAGCACGGTGAAGGGGAAGCCAGCAAGGGGTCACCAGACAGAGTTGCTCGATGCCGTCCTTAACAACTGTAGGTGACTTGCTTAACAATGACAACTGGAACTGCTGCAACCGTCTTTGTAACTCTGTGCAGTCACATGACATTGCTGTTTACAATCGCATTACTTAGCGATGCCAGTCCCAATTACCATTATTAAGTGAGGACTATCTATATTCATGAGATATGAATATTCTCCCCTCTCTCTCTCTCTCTCTTTCTTGAGCCTGTAGACACAAACAGAAAGACGTTTTTGTGTATGCTCAATAATGTTGTTACCCCCTACAATTATCCTGGAGATAATGTGTTATGAATTCTTCTGGTTCAGTTGGGCTTAAGGTCATGCTTGGAATTGCTGCTGCTGATGTCCTTATCATGTCCATTGATAGCCATGGATGATCCAGTCCTGATGGGGAGGTCAGGCAACTACATCCAGAGGGCCTCTGTTAAGAATGTTTGGGCTGAAAGGCCTGGGGCTCGGTCTCGTTATGTGACACCTGAGGAAGAAGTTCTCTGCTCTGTTAGTCCTTGGATTGTTAAGGCAGCCAGGAGACCTGTAGCTGGATCTGAATGTGGGTTTTAGGGACCCAAGAACTTTCCATCCATACTCAGATGCAGTAGCACTTCCTCACTCCACAGTAGCGTGTCATCTGAAGATAACCTCAGCATAGCCAAGAGAGACTTTGTTCAGCTCCATCTGAGGCACCAGTTGACTGGGAGACTTTTTAGACAATCACCCATTTCCTAGTCACCTCAAGGCTTGACTACTGCAATGACTGTACATGGGGCTGCCCTTGACAACCACTCAGAAACTTCAATCAGTCCAGACCACAGCTATGTGAATAGTGTATACCACCCTTGCTCTACAAGCTGCAGTGATTGCCAGTCTGTTTCTGGTGGGTTATTGCCTACAAAGTCCTACATGGCATAGGCCCAAGTTACTTGATTCTCCCATGGTTTCCATTTGGGCATTATATAATGGCAGAGTTGCATAAGCTAGATCAGGGGTGTCTAACTCAAGGCCCTGGAATCCCGCCCAGAGGGCCACCCTAGAAACAGCAAAGGATCAGCCCGCAAGCTTCTGCCAGTGAAAAGAGAACTCATGGTGATCATTAGTTGCCCGCCTGAGATCCGTTTTCGCTGACTGAGGGCTAGCAAAACAACTAAAAACAAAACAAAAAGATAAATGTTTCCCCTTTTACATATGAGTATGCAAGAAGGGACAGGAAAGGAGAAAGGGAAAGACCAAGAAAAGGTTGGGAAGATAGCAAGGAAGGAAAAATCAGGAGGGGAAAGAAGAAAAGAAAATGAAGAGGGAAGGAAAACAGAAGGAAGGAAGGAAGGAAGGAAGGAAGGAAGGAAGGGAGGGAGGGAGGGAGGGAGGGAGGGAGGGAGGGAGGAAGGAAGGAAGGAAGGAAGGAAGGAAGGAAGGAAGGAAGGAAGGAAGGAAGGAAGGAAGGAAGGAAGGAAGGGCTTATGAGAGTGAGGGAGAACCTGAGGGAAGTCCTGCCTTAGCATTTGGCCACCACAGGTACCCCTGACACAAGTGACGTTGATCTGGCCACACCTACCCTAGCCATGCCCACCCCAGCCATGCCCACCCTGGCCGCCTGAAGTCAAACACAACTCTGATGTGACCCTCAATGAAATAGTTTGACACCCTTCCTCTAATGTCAGTCAATCAATCATCAGAACCCAGGAATTGTGCCTTTTCTGTTGTGGTGCCTGGCCTTTGGAATGATATCCTACCCCTCAAAATTCATGTTTCTCCCACCTAGTTGATGTTCCATAAAGTCTTAAAGACCTGGATCTTGAGATGATAGACAATCCCTTGCAGGAATTTGTTACTTTTGTTTTCTATCTGAATATTTGTCTGGATTCTATCTTGGTTTTGGTTTATTATTTGTGAACTACCGAGAGTTAGTCAGAATCAGATGTTGTCCAAATTGAATAAAATAAATAAAATAAAATATCCATATTCAGATGAAAGTGGTGCAACCTGCTCTTTGTTTTCCTCACCTGTTCCTTACTTTGGAATTCAGAGAAGTAATCAAAAATAGCTTAGAATAAAAAAATAACAGAAATAAAAACAAACTGTTATAAAAATATGTAGAATAAAAAGAGAGATGAGATAAAAAGGGAATGCAAATGACATTGGGAATAGAATTTACTACAGGGAAAGGAAGCCAAAAGCACTTTGAATTATGCAAAGCACTAGAAGCATCTATTTTGAAGCATTTCAAATCCGAAATGGCTGTTTCTGATACAATAGGGGCTGTTTCCAAGTGTTTTGAAAATGTTTCACACTCTGTAAATTACTGTTCCGAGTTCAACATACTGCCGAAATCTTCAGTATAGCAGTATAGAAATCTATGAAAGGCAAGGTAAATCTGATACTTCTCAGGCCACCGTTGATCTCAAAATGGGAAATTTCATGCTCAAAACAGTTTGAAATGATGTCTTTTGCACCCCCTTCCTGGGAAATTATTGTATTTAAAAGCTGGCACTATCTTATCCTTCTATTTGGTCTGGCGTCACAAGTTCCTGGCTGCTGTCTAGGATTAGTTTAAGATGATTAGAGGGCTCCAGATTAACCAGACCTTAAATTAGAATTCATTAGAATGAAATACTGTCTCCCTTTTCAAGCATATAACGAATGAAGTTTGTTATTTTGGGGGAGTGGAATTGCATTCAAAATATAAAATGCAACTTTAATCAAATCTACTGTAAGTTTAAGCTGGTCTGAGATTGTTTCCATTTTCAGTTGTTTTCTTCTGTTATGGTTCAAAAACTTGCATTACTACTTCCTTGTGAAGATTATTCACATTAAGGTAAAAAGTACCAGTGAAATCAATGACAAAACTACCTGCAGTATAATGGCTAAATTAAACTTGGTTAATTTCATAGGCTGGAGAATTATATAGGAAATCTGAAAACAGCTATTTGAAACATATGCTATAAATTGATGGCATTATTAGACTACATCTTTCATGTTCTGAAATGAATAACATGACATTTTATAAAGTCTTGGAATGTTCCTTATGTTGTATCGCCTTAAGCAGTGATTTTTGCATAATAATGTACAAAAAATTAATGAAGCTTAAAAGTAATCTATTTTAATAATTGTCTTGAAAATTTCTTAGGCAGAAAACAAAACAGGCTATCAGTGAACGTTAATTCCATAGCTGGGGGCAGTAGACACCCATTCCATTCTAGTGCTGATTTCTACATTATATATATTGAATACATATGAATTTTATAAAAACTGCTTAGATTGGATAAGAAGTAGGAAGCACTCCTTCAAACATGAGTGAATTTAAACAAATCTAAGCACACCATTCTCTCACCACCTGGCTTAGTCTATCAGCCTTTAACTTACTTTACAGAGCTTGACAGAAGAGCTAAGTAGAAGCAATATTTAGTGATCCTCTCAAAATTATTCAGCCAGTGCAACACTTAAGAAAAGCTTCTGTGTTAATATTAACTTTTCTTCTTTGAAAATACCAACAGGTGATCTTTACTAAAATTAATTCAAGAGCATAGGATCTCCATTTTGTGGGGGTGCCCAACCTTTGCAACTCAATCTTCTTCACTTCACGCAAATTATCATCCCCTCCCCAGCCATTTCCTCTTATTCTGGATGAAATATGCTGATGCAGTTCTATACAGAAATAATAATTCCCCTCCCCCAGGCTAGAAAATGCTCTGAAATCTATGAAAGGCAAGGTAAATTTGATACTTCTCAGGCCGCCTGTTACCCTGTTACTGAACCCCCAAACTCCACGGGGATCTGCTACCTACCGCAGCCCAGGCAAAGAAGGATCATAGCTTGGTAGAAGAGCTTCGCTTCAGTGGTAGGACCCATAGTGTAGCTTCACCTCTCTGGAGACTCTTCTCTGACTCCACGCTGCATCTCTCACTTCCTTTTCTTCGCACACCAATATATATATATTTCCTCCCAACATTCTTAGTTCCTCCAACTTCTGTTTCAGCCCTCCTTTGTGTAATCTCTGCCTCAAGTATTTCTAAATCACTTCCTGTGGTATATTGAGACTGGGGTGGTTATATAGTCCCTTTCTCCTCCTGAGCAGGGTGTGCTTAATGTTGCAGGCCAGCGATGGCAGACCTATGACTCACGCAGGCCATTTTTGGGTGACTGGCAAGCTTGCGGACCCTCTGGAAGTCACTCAAGAGGGCCCTGCTCTTGTGTGGCCGCTGAGATCTCCAAAATTTGTGTGAACACCCCTGTGCAGCTTTTGGAGTTTCCAGAGGCCCCAGGACAACAGGACCTTCTCGTGCGACTTTCAGAGAAGAGGTCTTGAGCAGTCTCCAAGCCCAAAAGGTTTTCCATCACCACTGGAGGCGAACCCTGTGGGCAAAACTCTAACAGGCAATGCTGTTTCACTTCTACAATTCCATCCTAGGAAAACTTTGCTCAATGAGGAAAAATTGAAAGGGAATTCTATCCAATTGCCAACTGGACTATGACTACAATTGAGCCCAAAATTTCCACTGCTTATCAAGACACTTGTTGAGGTTTGCCTCATTTCTTGCCACGGTTAAGTGAATCACTGCAGTTGTTAAGTTAGTAATGCAGTTGTTAAGCAAATCTGTCTCCCCCATTGACTTTGTTTGTCAGAAGGTCGCAAAAGGGGATCACATGACTCCAGGACACTGCATCAGTCATAAATACATGCCAGTTGCCAAGTGTCTGAATTTTGATCACATGAATGGATGCCGCAATGGTTTTAAGTGTGAAAAAATCATCGTAAGTCACTTTTTTCAGTGCCACTGTAACTTCAAACAGTCATTAAGCGAATGATTGTAAGCCAAAGACTACATGTATCCTAAAGATAGATATTGGCAGGCAAGCTTTCTATGAGGGTGTTGCTCGAAGTTGTGGTTAAAAAACAAGACTAGCTAGAAAAGGGGTGTCAAACCGGTGGCCCGCAGGCTGGAGGAAACATACACAGGCCATGCCCATCCCAGCTCCGCAAAGGGGAAAAATGTTGCAAAATTGTATTGTGACGGCAACATGAAGTTGTGAGTTTGACACCCCTGAGGTAGAACTTCAGTCTGAGTCACTGAATCGGCTCAATTTCAATTCTGTCGACAAAAAGGGCCAAATTTACTCTGCTGTAGAATGATCAGCTGAAGGAATCGCACAAGTTTTCGGAACATATGACATCTGCTTTCCTGGCAGGGACAATAAAATTCATAGGAAACAAAAAGTTCATCTTCCAAGAATAAAGCCATAAAGAAATAACTAATCACAACTTTTACAGAAATTCTATGAAAATACCACGAGGTAGGACTCATCTCTAGAAGATGGTGGTGGGAAGGATAAAAACCACCAGACCCATCTCTAAAATTGAGGTTCCTATCCTCTTCCCAATCTACTCTTTTTCTAAAAAAACAAAATAGCGTAAAACTCAGCTTGCTTCATTGGACATGGTGATGGATCGATTGCTCAAATAATTTAGCATAGTTTCCTTCCTGTGCCAATGAGTTGGCTCAAGTTGAATTTCAGGAAATATGGATTTCAAGATGGTTATCAAACATTTCCATCAGATTGCCTACCATTTGTTTAGTCATAAAAAAAACATTAACCTTTTCTTTTGAGTCATTCTGTCTCTTCAGCAGATCTTTCAATATTATAGAACAACTCATCTTGAGGGCTCTTTTGAACTTGCAAATATGGACCCTTTAAAATCTTTGGACTTCAACTCCCAGAATTCCTGCCAGCTCAGGAATTCTGGGAGTTGAAGTCCATATATCATAAAGAGCCATAATCACCCACTTCTGTCTTAAGGGAATAATATTGAGGCATCTATTTACTTTACCATAAATATCTTGCTGCAACAGTAAATTGTATCTCAGTTGCCATAAATTCGGCGGAGTCCACCCAGAGAACTATTTAGAACAGATCAATGTTCCCAAATCTAAAAATTTATTTTTAACGGATCTTTTGAAAAGATAATTTCCTTTCTATAAATCTAAGGACATAGCTGCTCATGTGCAATCTATGTAGCAAGTTAACTAATTATTTGTCTTATTTGAAAACTCTGGGCTGAATCAAACTATCTTGTATAAAGGTAGTCCTCGACTTACAATTCATTTAGTGATGGAAAATCTTATTTTCCAGCAAGTAATCACAATGATTGCTGCAGTTGATATGGTATATGTGATCTCAACTAAGCCACTAGCTCTGGTTAATGAGCCATGCTCAAGTAGTCCTACACATGTATAAGTAATCCTCAACTTACAACCATTTGTTTAGTGACTAGCAACCATTTGTGCAGTTACAATGGCACTGAAAAGAGTGCCCTTGGCAACTGGCATGTATTTATGACAATTGATGTGTCCCAGGGCCATGTGATCACCTTTTGTGACCTTCCAATAAACAAAGTCAATGGGGAAGCCAGATTCCCTTAGTAATTATGTTACTAATTTAACAACTGCAGTGATTCTTTTAAAAAACTATGGCAAGAATGGTCGTAAAATGGGGCAAAACTCACTTACAATTGCCTTGCTTAGCAACAGAGATTTTGGGCTCACTTGTGGTCGTAAGTCAAGGACTACGTATACAATATTATTTGTGTCTGGCAACCAATACCCCACATAAAACTTACAGCAATGGGATGTATTAGCCAGCAGGAAATAGAGAGAGCTGACTAGCCAAACCAATTTAAGGTTATTTTATTTTTCATAAAATCCTAAACATCCTCAAATTTAAAAGATGAATCAAACCTCTCTTCCCTTCGGCAATTCACCCACGCGCACACACACACATACCCTTGCCCTCACCCCACTCCACCCCAAAGTCTGGCAAGTTCTTTCAGTCTGTTGCTGGGTTGAATTTTATCCCTCAGGCTCGGCAGGACAGGAGGTGGATTCCGATCATGTGTAGAGATCAAAATCAATCCGCTTGGAATTGTAGAACTGGCCCTCGGAATTATCCGCCTTCCGGCAGTAAACCCCATCAGGAAAATAGCCTTGGGATACCCAGTCCTGAAGAGACAGAAAAAAGAATTTGAAAGAGGAGAGAACGATGGCAGGGAAAAGAAGAAAAGGGAAGAAAACAGACTCTGATAAAAAGAAGTTCTCTGAGGATGAGGCTCTAGCACGAATCCGAAATCTCAGAAGATTAAACCCAAACTGGATCCTGCACCATTATCCTGGGACACGCCATATTCACCTTCATTCATGAAAGAAAACAGAGCCGTCTGGCATGGAATCGCACAAAAGAGGCAACCAATTTCAATGAGGCACACTTAATTGGCAGCGCTATCAATGCACATTGGGTGTGCTAGTATGCATTTGGGAGCAGTGATGCTTATCAGTCAAAACTAATTCTCAAGTACCATCCACAGAGCAAATCTACTGCCCAGGAAAAAAGATTCTGACCAAGGAAATAAATCATAACTATGAACAACATAATGTGACAAGTGATTAAAAATCCTAGAAATGGGTTTTCCTTCTCACAATTGCCCAGGATGGAAGGCCGAAATAATGTGCACCAACAGAAGCCTTCTTCCACCAGTACAGATAGTCCTCAACTTACAACCCCAATTGAGCTCAACATTTGTTACTGAGAAATTTGTTAAGTGAGTTCTGCCCCATTTTACGACTTTTTGACACATTTGTTAAATCAATCACTGAAGTTGTTGAATTAATAACACAGTTGTGAAGTAAATATGATTTCTCCATTGACTTTGCTTGTCAGAAGGTCGCAAAAGTGGATCGCATGATCCCGGGATACCGCAACCGTCGTAAATATGAGTCAGTTGCCAAGTGGCTGAATTTTGACCACATGACCGGGGGAGGGGTTGGTCATAAGTCCCTTTTTTCAGTGCTGTTGTAACTTTGAACAGTCACCGAGTGACTGTAAGTCTAGGACTACCTGTATTCAAGATTTAGATGAATAGAATAGATGAATAGAATTCTTTATTGGCCAAGTGTGGTTGGACACACAAGGAATTTGTCTTGGTGCAAATGCTCTCAGCATACATAAAAGAAAAGATACATTCGTCAAGAATCATCAGGTACAACACTTAATGATAGTCATATGGTATAATAAGCAATCAAATCATACTATATAATATAATATAAATCAATATAAATCCTAAGGATACAAGTGACAAAGTTACAGTCATAGTGGGAGGGGATGGGTGATAAGGAGTGATGAGAAGATTAACAGTAATAGTAGTGCAGACTTTGTAAATAGTTGGACAACGTTGAGGGAATTATTTGTTTAGCAGAGTGATGGCATTCAGAAAAAAACTGTCCTTGTGTCTAGTTGTTCTGGTGTGCAGTGCTCTATAGCGTCCTTTTGAGGGAAAGAGTTGAAACAGTTTATGTCCGGGATGTGAGTAAATATTTTTAGATATGCTTGCAAAATCAAACAACCAACAACACTACATAGATGGCAATCAAAATGAATAGAATTGTAGAAAGATGCACTTTTTAAAAAAGTCACTCAGAAAAAAAGAAAGATAAATAAAATATTGGAGAAGGGAAAAGGATATTTGTACCAACAAGGAAAAAAGGACATTACTAGGATAGTGAATAGAGAGAGAAATACACAAAAAGTGAGGAAGTGAATAAGAAGTTAATCTATCTTCTTTTGGTCTCTTACCTGCATCTGAGAGCTGCTGAAAGGTCCGTAAAGTTCAGATGTGTTTGTGTTTTCCCACTTATATTCCCACATCACCTCCGAGAGTATGTTGTCATCACTTTCCCTATGTGACTGACTTCCTGTTGTAGGAGAATAAGCACTTATGTCAGAAGAATTTTTCCTAAATTCCCTAATAAAGAACACCTACCCACTAATACAGGAGTTGTGTATTAGGGGGTAGGTGTCTG